GTTACTTGTTCCTCCTAGTTGTAGGAATTCCACTCAGCCAGCGTTCCTGTGGGTCTGGATGATGTCCCTTCCGTCTTTTATTTTCACTTTTGAAATGGTTGTTCAGGGCAGCAAACTCCGGCATTAACCTATGCCGCCATCTTGGTTCCCCCCCCATCCAATAGCTTTTACTTCATTATCGAAGGGCCATCTATAATAACAAAAGAGTAATATGCTAATTAGACTGAACATCTTCCAGACATCATTCTGGACATCTTTCCTGATGAAGCCGGGCCCGAGGGAAGCCAGCCCAGGTCCCAGGTGCCTGCGGGTAGCCAGAAGTAAGCAGCCCAGGTCCTGGCTACCTGCCAGCACCTGGAGGAGGGAAGCAACCCAGGTCCCGGTGCCAGAGTAGGACTTGCTTCAGTAGGGCTTTGGTGCTCACTGAGTCTTCCCCTTGAGTGTGCTGCTTATGGATGTGTAGAGTTGTAATCTGGTATGGTCTGACACTGACCACAGGGTATGCTGGCTGTTGGGTCTCCAGGGAAGTGCACAGTAAGCCACTGCCTGAGGCCACCCAGCAGGAGCTTCAGAGAGATCTGCAGATTCCTTCTCTTTGTATCAGCTTTGGAAGTGCTCAGATGAGGCCTAGCTGTGAATCAAGGCAGGCAGGTGGTGGTTCTGGGTCTTGAGCCTTTTATTGATAGGTTTGGGGCTCCCTGACCCAGCTGCAGCTTGTTTGAGAGATTTTACCCTGAGCAAGGACCAGGCCATTCATATGCAAAAGCTGCTTCACACAGCTTGGATAGGGTTGTAAATTGGATGAGGTGGGATCTTAGGGAATCACCAGGGTGGAGCAAACAGAAATGGCTGCCAGTAATGACTGCTACCAAACTGGGGAAGTCCCAGCATAGGAACAATGATCCCTTCAAGCACCTCCAGTCTGGGAGAAAGCCGCCCCCGAGTTCTACCCTGATGCCAGACAATCCATTCCTCCTGGTATGTGACTGTGTTCCCCAGAGCCTTGCCCTGGTGCTGGAGCTCAGAGGAAGCAGAACCTTGTACTAGTAAGTTCAGGTTGTGGTGTCAGCCTTTTAAGAGGAACAGCTGGGTCTCCAGCAGCCCCTGTGTCACTGAACCCCAATCTGCACTGGTTTTTACAGCTCGTAGTTCTTTTTTTCCCAGCTCTGGGACCATGAGCTAGGGGTCTGGTGTGGGGATGGGACCCCTTGGTCCTCCAGGTGGGCTCCACAGAAAGATCTCCCTCCCAATTAAGAAAGCAGCACACCTGGGTGCCAGGCTATCCCATTCCATGCCTATGCACCTCCTACCAGTCTCAGTGTGCTTTTTTCTTTACTTTTATGATTGTAGGACCTCCATTCAACCAGCTTTCCCATGGTTCTGGATGATGGTTGTTCTGTATTGTAATTTTCATTTGGTTGTGGGAGGTGGTGAATACAGGTGTTTACCTACACTACCATCTTCAAAAATCTTTTATAAAAATAAATCTTGAGAAAGAAATTTTATGTGTGATCAAGCTGGATAAGATTGAATTCATTTGTTAGAAGTGATTTTTTAAATAAGTTTTAATATAAATAGTGTATTAAAACCTAATATTCAACGTTTACTTGTACTATTGGTCTGCTTCTGATAAGATAACTAAAAATTTTTCTGTCAAGAAAGCAAAGATTCTGCGTTGTGTCAAAACAGTTTTCTTGCCCTGGCCAGGTGGCTCAGTCAGTTGGAACATTGTCCTGTTATCTTGGCACATACCTAGGTTGTGGGTTAGATCCCCAGTAGGGGTAAATATGGGAGGCAACTGATCAATGTTTCTCTCTCAAATTGATGTCTCTCTCTCTCTCTCTCTCTCTCTCTCTCTCTCTCTCTCTCTTTCTCTCTCTCTCCTTTCCTCCTCCCTCTCCCTTAAAGTCAATAGAAACAAATCCTCAAGTGAGGATTAAAATAATAAAACAGTTGTTTGTGTATTAGGTCATCTTAATCAGGTCTTTGCTTACCTAAGAAATCTGAATTTTCTCATTAGTAAAGGCTAACCCTCTGTATTTAAAATGCACTAGCCGGCTTTGATGCAAAGGCAGCAGTAAAAAAACAAAAAACAAAAACAACAACAACAACAAAAAACCTGTGGATGGAT